ATACGTAAAAAATAAAATAAAATAGAATTGCAAAAGACCAATGGCTTTTCAAGGGCCTGCGGGATTATACACACAACAAAGAAAGACGAACGACTAGATTTTCAAGCCACCGTCACATGCTATAAATAATGTTTTCTTCAAGCTGAATACACAATTATAATTTTAATAACAATGTAACAGGAATGTGTGCACATTACATAATCATCACCGAAAAATTCGGACCAGCAAACGAAAAATTTCGATAAAATATCCATTTCCGGTAGCGGGAGCGAAACACACACACTCACTCACATATTTCATCATTGATGACCTGAAAATCACACTCGAGATTGTTTTCACTTTGCATTCGGGCCCTGATCTGAGGATTTTACTTGCGTAGCAATTGTTCGTCGGTTTCGTTTGTGTTCGTCCTTGATTGAAAGCTCTCGCCATTGCTGTGCTCACTACGTAGAAAAGAGAGAAAGAGTAATATAGGCATCAAAAAATTATATTCACGTATAATATTTCTTTTATTTTTGTTCGATTTTTTTTTTCTTCTTCTTTTCTACTTCTTCTTACTACCCTGTGCAAATATTAACTGAATCAAGGCTGTCGCTTTGCAAATGTTTATTATTAAACCGCTCTTTTTTTCAGCTATTCGACTTTTGAGCGCATTAAAAGTATGTCATTCAGTTGATTGAGATTCAGAAAAGTGATGCATATTATTTGAAACAGTTTGAAAAAACAAACAACACGAAAGAAAAAGAAAGAAGTAGAAGAAGAAAAAACGAAGATATTCATATAGAAAAAAACGAATAAAAACGACTTGCACAACGGCATAAACGAACATTTGCAAACGGCATATCAATCTTTGTGCAAGTTTCTTTTTTCGCTTCTGAAACACACTTTTGTTTGGCGTTCGCGGTAAATATCCTTGCATTTTAAAATCTCATAATGTTAGAAAGAGTGAGAGAGTGAGAGAGGGATAGAAAGAGAAGAGGAGAGAAAAAGAGCTTAGAATGTTTTTGCATGTAGAGATTTATTTTTTGTGTTGCGCGCACCGAAAAAACTTATTTCATTTTGGCATCGGACAAATTTATTGGGTCCGATGACGAATAACAATCAGTGTGCACTTATCAAGCTTAGGTGATAGTCAATTTAGAGATTCAGTCGTAGATTTTGATTTTAGCTAGCTTTTATTCTAGCTGTATCTAAATTTATAGAACGCAATTAAAATCAAAATCGAACGTGTCAAAGACAAGAGACATAGAGTGAAAAACCGTAACCGTAAAAAATCGGTATGTTTATTTGAAAATATGAATTGTTGTTGTGCCTGAAGTTAGACATTGCATTGGCGTAGATGGCACCACAACGTTCATCACTTTTGTTTACTTTCTGCTTTATCAGTTGACAATTCATTTGCCGTATTGCTCTCAGTCGTCACACTCTCTTCCTCTCTCGCTCAATCGTTGTTTCTCTTTTGTTCTATCACACGTTCTGGACTGGGCCAGAAATTGACAGTGCATTCGACCACGAATGTGTGATAAAATATGGAACGGAGAAACATCTTTGTACCGTTGTATTGGTGAACAAGCGAGAGCCAGAGAGAGCGAAAGAATGACAACGTGAAAAAAAGTGAGGAATGAAAGAATGAGATAGCGGACGAAAGAGAAAATTGGCTAAGAGAAAAAAAAACTTGTGAACAGAGAGCAGAGATAAATAGAATATGCTACCGTACTGAGGTCGAATCATATAATATTTATAACTAATATTTTTGCTGCATCCGAACATCAAAAATTTAATGGCGAAAAAGACAAGGCAACCAATTTATGAATTTTCATCACAAGCAGACACTAGCAAACCGCAGCAACAGCAGCAGCATCATGTCGCATACATGCACACTGACAGTTCAGACACTCACAAATAACACATAGGTCACACACACACACACACACAGAAAAAAAACGCATTAAATACCGACGAGTAAGGGAGACCGACCGACTATGTTGAATGTTTCGTTCATTTGTCCCGATGTATGTGTGATTGTGGCATTTTGTGCTGCTGCTGCTTCTGCGAGAAACAATACCGATTGACGTAAAAAATTAGTTTTTTGAATTCATTTGGATTAGTAGTAAACTTTTGATCGCACCGTTCGCTTGCGCACGCTGTCTCTGCCTATTCGTGATTTATTGTTAAATAGTGTTAAAATCAAAAGAACTAGAATTTAGAAAAGAACACAAAGAAATCCCCATCCAATTTTTTAAAAAACTTATTGGACTTGTTTTTTATTTGCAAATAGTTGAGCAAAGGCAGAGCAACTGGGAGAGAGAGCACTGTTTTTTTTCCTCGTATTTTTCTCGTTCCGAATAGCGAATAGAGATACACCAACAAAATATTCAACAGAACGGATTTCAATAATGATTACCAACCAAAAACCGAATTCACACTTAGTTTAGTTTGTACAGTTGACACATTTAAATCAAATCTTAACAAATTGTAGGATATAAAAGTAAAATCAAAAACAGAAAATCTATGTATATTTAATTTAGATCATTTCAACTTAAGTCGTAATTTAAAAAAAAGAAGAAGTTTAAAATCAACAACAACATCAAATCGCGAAATAGAAAGAAAAAAAGAGTTAACATTGGTTCGTCTCGTGTGTATCCGTCTAAAGTCGTGAGTGTGAATGTGCGTGTTACTCGAAAGGAAATAAATTGATACAAAATAAATCAACACAGATGAAAACAGCATCTCAACCACATAGAATTTAAAATAAATAACCCGTAATAATTTAATACTAGGTGATAATTTCTGTAGTCCATTTTAAAATTGCTCGGTTGCTCTCGAATTACATTACCGTCAATAATCAAATAAATCGTGTGCACAAGATCTCGCAAAGGCGCGACTCATTCATCTCAACAATGTAAGCAAATTGTATAATTCAGTGTTCACCATTTCGTAGTAATTTTGTTTTGGTTTCGTTTCCATGTTGCAATTTCCGTTGAGTATTCTCGCCATTTTCGTCGTAAACAAAAAATGCTGAAACGAGGAAAAAATTCAACCAAATTTTCCATTGTTGTTCAAAGTTTTGGTTTTTTTTTTTTAAATTTCTGTATCGCGCTGAACAATGCCGAGCTGATTAAAATACCGTTTATCGAAATGCAATTTTCCTCTTTTTTGCTTCAATATTTGCAAATGAGGGGGTAATAATTGTGATGTTATGAGTAACTCAGATAAAATGATTGGAGCCGATTCGGAGGAAAGCCTAAAATAGTTCGATCGTCGAATCAGAGAGGAAGAGAGAGAGAGAGAGAGAAAGAGTGTTGAGAACAAAGTTGCATTGGTTTTGGTGTTTCAAATACAAAGTATTTATTCGCAAGTCAACGCAAGTTTGATTGCAATACGAGAAGCACACCAGATTACGTCGAATGACACGCGAAACACAGAATTTGCTTCAATCTTTTCTCTCAATATGATTGAGAGTGAAAGAGTGTGTGAGATTGAGAGAGAATTGGAGACAACGTGTGAGAGCGACAAGATATAGTTCGTAGTTGTGAAGAAATCCGTCTAATGTCAAGCCAAACAACCCGCAAAATTTGAAACGGCAACCAGCCTCATATGCTGAAATTCAAGCTGTGCTCGCGCGCGCAACACAAGCGGAAGGTCGTAAAGAAATTCAAGTACTTTTTATTTTGTGATAAAACACAACAACAATAGCACATACAAACACAATAAATACGAATTAAGAATTGTTGCTCGTGTGTTATCGCCCGTTTCGAAGAAGAAATAACGAACAAAATTATGAATATCGATTCGAATGGGTTTTAATTCATTCTCATTAAGTTTTTCCACTTTTATTATTTCGCTTATGTGCCCGTGCGCGCTCGGTTTGTATTTTTAAAACCACTAAATTCGAATCCGTTTTACACGAGATCAATAAAAGCACACACACGGATCATGTACCGCACATGTGAACGAGGTGCAAATTTTGCATTTGCGAAATTGTGTGTGTGTGAGAGAGAGCGCGCGTATTCAATTGTCATTTAAAATCGGGTCTTGATCGATCGGATACTTTTTTCTTCTTCTGCTGTTTAATTTCCAAATATAAACGCAATTCACACGGAGCTAAAAAAAAACAAAGCACATGCTTTATTTGTCTTTGACATCGCATCCCAATTTCATTGCGCTTAGAATAATTCGTCATATTCGTCTCACGTTCATTCTCTTTCAATCTCTCTGTCACTCAGTGTCTCGGTTGCTTTGCCGACGACAACGACGACGATGACTTTATTCGAGTTTCAATTCTTTGCTCTTCTTTTTTTGTTTTCGCTGGTTGCGCGCTGACTTCAATACTCTTTTTTGACATAAAGTTTCAAGTACACGTGTTACTCCGTCATAGGAACATACGAAAAACGGTGATGCAAATGTATTGGTAACCGAACGTATGTGTATGTACGTGAACACGTATATCGGACGAATGTAACATTTCTGAACGCTGAGTAGTCCACAAGAAACGAGTTCTTTTTTTTTCTTCTCAACTCGCTCGCTCTCTCTCTCTCTCTCTCTCTCTCTCTCTCTCTCTCTCTGTGTGTGTGTGTGTTTCGGCTTACGTATGGATTTTTCGGTTTGTGTATCATGTCATGTTGGTGCGTTTGACGCATATCTTCATGTGTATGCGATATCTATAGTACGTATGTGGCTCTGTGAATACACAGAGCAGCAGTAGTAACAGCAGAAACAGCAACAACAACAGAACCAGCAACTACCGAGAATGACGTGTACGTGTCAGTGTGTGCGTCTATTGTCAGTTTAGTAGCTAGCACAACCTCTGGTTGCAGTCAAATAAACGTTGTTGTTGTTGTTGCTCTTATTCGTGGCCGCTAACGCGTACGTTTTTTTTTCTTTCTTTCTGTACGATTACAACGCGTATTCTATTGCCATTCCCTCTCCTCCTGTTTGCGTTTCGGTTCATTCTAACTCATTCTCTCTCTCTATCGGCAGCAACTGAATTCATTTTGTCAATATCGTTAGTGCAATTAAGGATAAGTTCTTGAATTGTTGTTTTGTTGTCGTTTTAGTGATTCGTACAAACTACAAAAATTTCGTGTTTCGTTCAAATTCGCAGAGAAAAAGAAAAAAAATCAAATCGACAATCTATGCACTTCAAGTCGAATCGGTGATACACATTTATACATTTTACTCTTTAAACATTAGTTTCTTCGTGAGGTGATCGAGCGAAATTGAACCAGCAGTGAGTGTAATCATTTTTTTTTGGTTGATTGTGTTGCCGTAAAAACCATTTTTTTGTTGCTTCGTTGCGTTCCAATGGAAATTTCAATGAAATTTTGATATATTTAACACGAAAAAAAGAAACACACGAGAACCGACGAACTCGTGTCTGTCATATGTGTACGGATTTTGTGGTGCGGGCAGAAAAAACGTTCAGAACATTCGACATTCGAATGCAAATTGTAATCAGATCACGTTCAGTGACGAATACGCTCGTTTAATATTGTCACACGTTTGGAGCGAAATTGAGCTCGGTTCGCGGTGCAGTTTTTTCTTCTGTCTTTCTCTTTTGTGTGCTGTTGTAATTTTGTTCATTGCACAAACTTCGGTTAATTCATGGTTTTGACACCATAAATCCACATATCGAACGATTTGTTGATAATTGTTACGTGTACGTTTCACCCTTTGTGAGTGTGTGCTCATGTTTGTGTGATTACTCATAAATCAAGCGCTATTCAAAGCCGAAACTGTTGTTGTGTATCTGTGAAGCAGAATAAACGGTCCATGCATTCAGCTGCCCAGTCATAGGTAGCTCAAAATCGTGCTTCAAAATTAATTGTACGAATATTTCGTGTGAAATGTATGTGATCAACAATATCTCTCATACAAGAGATGATTTCAAGTCGAATGGAAAGATAGTACGGTTTGTGCCGCGACACCTCAATCCGATCACAAAATGTGTGCATAATGGATGACAGTGGCATAATGTTTGTCGGCATTTAATTGCAATTTTATTAATGAAAATCACATGGAATTTCATTGAAAATCGTTCAACAACCGTTGGCTCATCGAAATGCATCGCATTAAAAATGGTGCTGTGACCGGGGAAATGACAATGTTCAATTGTTGCTTTCAGTGTTCGGGTTTCGATCACGATGCCGTGGCCCATTTTGTCTGTCATTTTCATTAGTGTGCTCATATCTATTGTGTGTACGAAAGAGATATTTCATTGGGTGTCGCGATATATAGCGCTTCGTAATGGAAACATAACCTAAAATCAAAATGATGATTTTACGTGAATTTGAGCTGTTAGTGGTGTCGGCTTAAACTCTTTCGTTTCGGTTCGGTTCGTCTATGTGTATGTGTATGTTTATTTTATTTTTTCCATGTATGTGCTAGCACTCTCTTGTCATATGAGCATTTCTGTGGCGAAGAATGTTGACTTGGCAACTGATAATCGTCTCATTCATCGTGGATAAACACCACGTATGTTTTTTTCCGTTTTCTACACATTCAAATGGGCACTGCGAATGGAATTACAATAAAAGCAAAAATTGTGTGTACTGAAACTTAAACCGTAATGATTGCGTAATAGAATGTATTGCCATTTCTTTCTTTCACAAACAATCGATCCATATGATTACTTTTTCACTCATTTTATCCAATATGTGCATACGGTTTTATCAATGAAACCACCGCGGAACCGGTAATAGAATCAAAATGCTTATCTATTCGGCGGTGCAATCGGTTTATGTGTGTGTGTGTGTGTGTGTGTGTGTGTGTGTATGTATGTGTGTGTGTGTGTGATTGAACGGAGATCGAGAGAGAGAGACAGAGAAGAATCTCCTCGTGACCGTATCGAATGATTACGCGCGGCGCAATTTTTAAACACCTTCATTTTTATATTGAGAGTCCATGTTCAGTTCAGTCGCATATAAATTATGTCCCACGTTTAGTATTGCCAAACGGAATCGATGGCAAAAATTACACTCTAATTATTATGATAATCAATTCGAACCTTACATAGACAGTGCACAAAAACCAAACGTACACGCATTGCCGAAATGAGTCTTCGCGTCAAAAAAAAACTATTTCTCTGAAATTGCAATTCCGAATCAACAACGAAGCAAAGCAACACAATTGGCTCACACATTTTTGGTGTACAATGCTAAATGAAATTCTATTGGGGCCGACTTTCAGACCAAATTAAATTTCAAATTATAACATATTCGATCGGCGGCCACGGCAGCAACGGCAATAGCCCTGGAAAAAAAAAATGTGCCTCATGAAAATTGTTCGAGAGAATGTGCGGTGCGGTGCGGTGAGGCGCATTCGTGCAAACTTCAAAAATCAACAAACGAACAAAAGAATCGATCATTTTCTAACACGAAAGTGGCGAGAACTCAATGTTTATGACCGGAGCATTAGTCGTGGACATAGCTATTATTCCATATAATTCAATGGCAATCCGATTGACGTAATATCAATTATTCGCAGCCAAATGCCACGCGATCATCTAGAAAAGAACCTCTAAAACTTTCGATCTCGTCACACACGAATTTTCAGCGGAGAAAAATCGAGAGAAAGAGGCGCAAATTATCTGTCGGCTCTGTGTAGTTCCTAGTTGGATTTTGTGAATAGCAAATGATATTTTGGCTCACGCGAGAGAAAAATTCAGCCTGTGAATTCCTTTTTCTTATTTTTTAAGCGAAAAGAAGAAAGAGCTATTTTTAAATTCATAGTTTTTTTTTTCTGAATCGATGGCTGTGGCAGTATGGCTGCTGCTGCTACTACTACTACTACCTCGGTTTAAATGGTTTTGAGTGCGTCTCTAATTTATTATATTTTTTGTTGATATTTTTCTTCCTCTCTATAGAGCTACCGAACAACAGAAAAACTAATTCAAAATGGAGGACGGCCATGCAAAAACCGTCGAGGAGGTTATAAATTATTTCGGAGCTGACAGTGAACGCGGATTATCAGCTGATCAAGTTAAGCGAAACCAAGAAAAATATGGACCAAATGGTATGTAAAACTAAAGGCGATATAATTTCATTTCATTCCCATTTCACACAAACCATCTGTTGCACATGTATACATTCTCTTTCCAATTCGAAATGCAAAACGACGACGACGACGGCGACGACAAACATATCACTTTGTGCTTGCATTTCCATTTCCAGCACTTTGCACTCTCTCTCTCTCTCTCTCTCTCTCTCTCTCTCTCTCTCTCTCTCTCGCTGTATATCTCTTCTGATCACGATTGTGAGAGGGAAAACGTGCGTGTGCCTGTGCAAGCTTAAAATTGCATGAAGTACGAGAGAGAGAGAGAGAGAGAGAGAGAGAGAGAGAGAGAGAGAGAGAAAGAGAGAGAGAGAGAGAGAGAGAATGAAGCATAGAGGAGAGAAAAGAGAGAGAAAACAAGACCGCAGAGCTTCGCTTCGCTCCGCTGCGTTCTTGAGTTTTTAGTTACTTAATCTATTTTGTTGTTTCACAACAAACTATTTTTTGGCGCACTACATGAAATGTATTTCATCAAAGTAACTTTGAAGTAATATATTTATTTGCAAAATGAATTGCAAGATCTTGGTTTAATTTCTTTTTTGAAATACACTGCCTTTGGTTTAAATTAAATAAATAATATGAGCATAGAATCTAAAATCACTTTAATTCTGGTGAAGACTCAGAAAATATTATACGAAATATTAATGTAATTTTTAAACAACATTTGATAATAAAAATTTGATTGGCGCTTTGAGATATTATGCACCTATTTGTCGTTACTGAGCATAAAATTCAAATTCACCATAATTTGTTTCAACACTCAAAAAGTATCTAGGAAAAAAAAAGAGCAGATTAGTAGCTCTACATTTCATGTAGTGCTAAAAAACAAATCTAACTAAAGTATATCTGACGTCACAGATTCAGTAATGACGATCGTCGATCGAATGATTACATTGTATGTTCCATTTCTATCGCTAGCGCCTGTGCTCGGTCGTTCATTTGTGTTTCTACTTCAATGTTCTTTGGTCAATTTTGAGTCAGGTCCGCTTATAAACAATGAGGCAAGTCAACAATTATTGTGTACATTAAAAATCATATGATCCGAGCCACAACGAACGAACGAATGAGCTATTAAGTGTGCTTTTCAGTCTTACTTCATTTCATTTCATTTATCATCGAAAAGCCAAAACGATGTTTAAAACAAATGTTTAACGTCATCGACACGCTCTCTCGTTCACTACCGTTCAGCATTTGCATGAAATCGAAGTTAGTGCTGAAGTTTCTGCCTGAGAAAGAGATAAAATAGCATTCGTTATGACGTAAATCGAATCTTAAATGATTTTTCAATTAGTTGTGTACGGGCTTATGCATCAAGCGCTGATCGAAATAATCAAGGAATGATGCAAGGTTTCAATGTCGCAATCGAGACGACCTGTCTCTTTCATCAACTGAAGTATCTGCGAAGTAAGAAAAAAAATATCCTTTGATCCCTTAGTTGACACACAGTAATTCAGTTGCTAGCAGGAAGATTGTTGACTTTTTTTGTGTCTCTCTAAATTTCAAGCACACTACAGTGATTGTCATGGATGATATGCACTTTTTCACATTCGTTGCTCTCGATATCTTTGATAACGGTGAATAGCAGATATCTATCAAACGACGATGACAATTTTTTATTTCTCTCTCTCTCTCTCTCTCTCTCTCTCTCTCCTCTCTGTCTCCATCTTCGCTGCTCTATTATTTGCATCGGATCGCTATAAAACTGATAAAATGCATCATATCAAGCAGTCATTTCAAATGAATATGCACGTATCCAGCTTATAAGAACTTCGTACATGCTCTCTCTCTCCCCTGGCCGCATAGTTACATTTAGTTGGTTATCTTTTCCATCAATTCAGTCAGTCTCTTCATTGTTTCATTTTTCGATTTAAGAGCGATTTTCCCGCCTCGCTGTGTATACATCCATAATATACACGTAGATTGTGGTGATATGTTATAGTTTGGTCTAATTTAGTTTGGCATTCAAGTTGTTATAGTTTAGTTTGAATATATACACTTTGACCCATTCGTCGTGTCAGAGATGGTACGACGAAGTTTTAGCACGTAGAAAAAAACAGAAATTCTCAACCGGCATAAATTACTTGTGCCAATATGATCAAAGTCGAGTGAGCGAGGCGAAGGTTCACCATCCATGCTGTTCTGTTTTTTTTTGTTTTGTTTTCTTGTTACACTTTGCCATATTATGGGTTAGTTTGACTGTTTTTTTGTTGTCGTTCATGCTCTTTACTCTAGTTAGGACTTCATTAATTCCTCTCTATCGGCAATCTGTCTATTTCTATATTTAGTATATATAGCATGTGTACGAGTTTTTCGTCAATAGTACAGTGACATAGAAAGGCTATTGATAGATGCATGCTATCAAAACAATCGACCGATGTAGTATGATACAACACACACGATGTATATACCACCGAAATTGACATGCTTGAAATGCTTTTACCACATTATTCGGTGCATTTTCAGCTAAAATTGAATTGACTAATGGAAATATCACGCATTCCACATCAACATAAAGGGCTTTTACCATATACCATACATCACAATCGATTCGATTCTATGCATTTTTTATTTGATTTTTTTTTGTTACAGTAAATTTTACTTATGCATTCCGTTTTTTTCTTCTTTTTTCTATGTCATTTCAGAGCTCCCTACTGAAGAGGGTAAGTAATTGAGTTTGAAAAGATGCTTTCAAACTTTCTCCAACGGAAGAGAAAGAGTTGTTGACACACAGACCACAAGGAAATGTAACAAGTGATTGATCATAAAACGGATATTTTGTTGTCATACTCTGTGTGATCAAATCGACTATTTATTCAGAATTTCTCTTATCTCACGAGCGCGCGTAATTCGTTGATTATACAAGAGAATCAAACACACTCTAAATTTAGGGAGAAAACCCAATTTTTCGGCAATGATAATTTGTTTTATTCCATTTTGGTTTTTTAATTGTTTGCACACCAGTTTTTTTTATAGCAAAATTGTTCACACTTATCATCTCTTCGAAATGGGACAATAATCCAAGCTAACGAAGAACATGGCTATCTTTCTGCAGCGTTGAAAATAAGATCAAAATTCGATAAGCAAATATGATGAGATTAGACTCTACATACGACGACGACGACGATGAAGAAGAAGAAAAACACCCATAAGCTTTTCGACAAACTTGAAACAAACAAAAACATCTTCATCGCATTTACTTAACGATAGACGGCTTTTTTCGTCTCTTTTACCACGTACCCCCGTTGCATTGTTGTGCGAAACTCAATTGAAACCATTGTTTTTGCTTTCAACTGAACTGAATGAAATTCATTTGATAGTGAATCAAAGTTTAACAGAAAACACATTTTCAACACACTTAATATCAACGTTGATTTATATTCTAGACAAAGACATTTTTCGGGGTAATAAAAATGTTGCTGTTGTCTTCAATTCTATTCAAAATTGGATAAACAATACGCTATTTAGATAATCATGACCAAGATCTTTTGAGATCGTTGTTCATTTTGTGTTTTATCACAAAACGGAAATAAATACATTTTCCTTGCGTGTCATCGTGTCACCCAACTCAAAATAAACAAAACGCAAATAAATTACAACGATAACGGTGTCTAATATTTTAAATGCGCATTTCTTTCTCTCTCCAGGAAAAACCATTTGGCAATTAGTTTTAGAACAGTTCGATGATCTTTTGGTTAAAATTTTATTGTTGGCTGCTATTATTTCATTCGTAAGTATTCTTACGTTCTGCGTAAATTTTGGAAAGAAACAGAACGCAAAACAAAGAGAAAAAATATTCAATTGATTTAATTGGCCTAATTGAAATCGTATTGTATTTGTTTTTGCACACAGGTATTAGCTCTATTCGAAGAACACGAAGAAACATTCACAGCTTTTGTTGAACCTCTTGTTATTTTGTTAATTTTAATTGCAAATGCAATCGTTGGTGTTTGGCAGGTAAGCAATAGTCTTGCATAATATACCTATAATGATAGTGCATGCGTTGCAATTTGCACAAATGAAATTTGAAACGAAAAGAGAAACATTTGAAACTGAAATGAAAAGAAAAGGAGAAAAACAAAAAAAAAAAGAAATTGATTTAGCAATAAATAAGCACACAATTGGTTTCACTGCTTAACTATTTCTGCTTCTTCTTCCCCTTCGTCTGATGCCCAATTGTAGGAACGTAATGCTGAATCAGCCATTGAGGCGCTCAAGGAGTATGAACCAGAAATGGGCAAGGTGATCCGGCAAGATAAGTCCGGTGTGCAAAAAGTCCGAGCCAAGGAAATCGTTCCTGGTGACGTAGTTGAAGTATCTGTTGGTGATAAAATTCCAGCCGATATTCGTTTGATCAAGATCCACTCCACCACAATTCGTATCGATCAATCCATTTTGACTGGTGAATCCGTTTCCGTGATCAAGCACACCGATGTTATTCCCGATCCACGTGCCGTCAATCAAGACAAGAAAAACATTCTTTTCTCTGGTACAAATGTAGCAGCTGGTAAAGCTCGTGGTATTGTCATTGGCACTGGATTGTGCACCGCCATCGGTAAAATCCGTACTGAAATGTCCGAAACCGAAGAGGTTAAGACTCCATTGCAACAGAAATTGGACGAATTCGGTGAACAATTGTCAAAGGTTATTTCGGTTATTTGCGTTGCTGTCTGGGCTATTAACATTGGCCATTTCAACGATCCAGCTCACGGTGGTTCATGGATTAAGGGCGCTATCTACTATTTCAAAATCGCTGTCGCATTGGCCGTCGCTGCCATTCCAGAAGGTTTGCCAGCTGTTATCACCACCTGTTTGGCTTTGGGCACACGTCGTATGGCCAAAAAGAATGCCATTGTCCGTTCACTTCCATCTGTCGAAACCTTGGGTTGCACCTCAGTCATTTGCTCCGATAAGACTGGTACACTTACCACAAATCAAATGTCCGTCTCACGTTTGTTCATTTTTGACAAAGTTGAGGGTAGCGACAGCAGCTTCCTTGAATTCGAATTGACTGGATCAACATACGAACCAATTGGCGAATTGTACTTAAAAGGATCGAAAGTTAAGGCCTCTGAATTTGATGGTTTGCAAGAAATGGCCACAATTTGTGTGATGTGCAACGATTCAGCCATTGATTTCAATGAATTCAAACAGATTTTCGAAAAGGTCGGTGAAGCCACTGAGACTGCTTTGATCGTTTTGGGCGAGAAACTTAATCCATTCAATGTGAACAAGAGCGGTTTAGATCGTCGTTCGGCTGCCATTGCTGTTCGCCAAGAAATTGAAACCAAATGGAAGAAGGAATTCACATTGGAATTCTCACGTGATCGTAAATCCATGTCGACATACTGTGTGCCAACCAAACCATCACGTCTCGGAACTGGACCAAAATTATTCGTCAAAGGTGCACCAGAAGGTGTATTGGAACGTTGTACACATGCTCGTGTTGGTACCACCAAGGTTCCATTGAACAGCACACTCAAATCACGCATCTTGTCACTCACTGCTCAATATGGTACTGGTCGCGATACATTGCGTTGCTTGGCATTGGCCACCGCTGATAACCCACAAAGCCCAGACACCATGGATTTGGGAGACTCAAACAAATTCATCCAATATGAAAATAGCCTTACATTCGTCGGCGTCGTCGGCATGTTGGATCCACCACGTAAAGAAGGTAATTAACATTGTTTGACGAATTTTCCATTTTTTACGGTTTTTTCTTCCAAGTTTCAACTATTTGATTGAACGTACTAATTTTTTGGTTTGTTCCTCCAGTTTTCGACTCAATCGTTCGCTGCCGTGCAGCTGGTATCCGTGTCATTGTCATTACTGGTGACAACAAAGCCACCGCTGAAGCTATCTGCCGTCGTATTGGTGTATTCACTGAAGATGAAGATACCCAAGGCAAATCATACTCTGGCCGTGAATTCGATGACCTGTCACCAAATGAACAAAAAGGCGCCTGCGCCCGTGCCCGTCTCTTCTCGCGTGTCGAACCATCACACAAATCGAAAATTATTGAATTCTTGCAAAGCATGAACGAAATCTCTGCTATGACTGGTGATGGTGTCAACGATGCTCCAGCCTTGAAAAAAGCCGAAATTGGTATCGCTATGGGATCTGGTACTGCTGTCGCTAAATCAGCTGCCGAAATGGTCTTGGCTGATGACAACTTCTCGTCGATTGTGTCTGCCGTTGAAGAAGGTCGTGCCATTTACAATAACATGAAACGTAAGTAATGCCGCTATCTACTTTAACTTAGGCAACAGTGGAGAAATATTTTCATAGAAATCCAAATGGATGTGAAATAAAAATCGCAAATTAAAATTCGATTCTAATCGATAATATCGTTTATTTCGATTTACAGAATTTATTCGTTACTTGATCTCATCGAACATTGGTGAGGTTGTATCCATTTTCTTGACTGCCGCTCTTGGTTTGCCAGAAGCTTTGATTCCAGTACAATTGTTGTGGGTTAACTTGGTAACTGATGGTTTGCCAGCTACTGCCTTGGGTTTCAATCCACCAGATTTAGACATTATGCAAAAGCCACCACGTAAAGCTGATGAAGGTCTTATCTCAGGATGGTTGTTCTTCCGTTACATGGCTATTGGTGGTTATGTTGGTGCCGCTACCGTTGGTGCTGCCTCATGGTGGTTCTTGTTCTCGGAAAATGGCCCACAAATGACATACTGGCAATTGACCCATCACTTGTCATGCATTGGCGGTGGCGACGAATTCCGTGGCATGGACTGTAAAATCTTCAGCGATCCACATCCAATGACCATGGCCTTGTCTGTATTGGTAACAATTGAAATGTTGAACGCTATGAACAGGTAAGACTGCCCGTGACTCTGGGCGACCGTCATTCAAAAATGTGCGACTTGATCTTGAGGTTGATCGAACGACAACCAGCTTGATTTTTACTCCAACCGATGCTCATACTTTTGTTTCTATTTCCACAGCTTGTCTGAAAATCAATCACTCATCACAATGCCACCATGGCAAAACATGTGGCTCATCGGCTCAATGGCACTCTCATTCACTCTTCACTTTGTGATCCTTCACGTCGAAGTTCTTTCAGTAAGTTTGACACGTTTCTATTCTATTTTATTCGCATCCTTTCTATTTTCATTGCTCATTTTTCTACTTATATTTGAACAAAACACGACACCACATTCATTTTGTCATTTTTGCATTATTTCCAAAACGCAATTTCTTCCGAAAATTCTAGACTGTCTTCCAAGTGACACCACTCACCGGTGAGGAATGGATAACTGTAATGAAATTCTCGATTCCAGTCGTTCTCCTCGACGAAGTCTTGAAGTTCGCAGCACGGAAAATTTCAGACGGTACGAATCCATTGTTTGGTTTACAGTGGATAGTTTTAATGTGGGCAGTGTTTTTTGGTTTGATTATTTATGGCCCTATTTAATTTCTCTACTTTTTTTTATTCACCTAAAAAAACAAACAACAACAAAAAAAATCGAAACCCATTGGTTGAGATAGCAATCAAAAACAAAAAACCGACCTATTAATTAATTTACTGATTAAGATTAACAAAAAAAACACAATTCACAACAAGAATCGAATACATAAACAACAACAACATTTGAGAAAAAAAAACATTGTGTACACACAAAGAAAACCAACAACAACAAAAACAAGCAAGAAATCGGATGAAAATCCAACAAAATGGCTTACAAAATGGTTTTCTTTTTTGTTAGTAGAGCTCAGTTAAAAAACAACAACAACAAAATTAATTATTTATACAACATTTAATTATATGTGTTAATATTAATATTAATTAATATAATTTGCATTAATTTAACGACTTGAAATTTAGCGCCTTTAATATGAATACGCGCCACAATGAGACGAAACTAGAACGAATGGTCAATTCTACCAACCGAAAAAAAAATGAAGAAGAAGAAGAAAAAAAATCGGAAGAAAATATGAATTGTGGATGTATATATTATTTAATCGGCGATTTTGAACACTATTTAATACTATAAACATCCAGTTGCAATATAAATGAATATGCGCGCGCGCGAATAGAAATATGCAGAGAAAGCGAGAAATAAAAATATCACATAATATTGTTCATATATTTGGCACAATTGACCATTCGTGACGGAAACGAAATCCCCTATTAAAAAAAGGCAGCACTTCGCGAATGGGTCGGCGAGCAAAGATCACATCGCCGAGGATCTGCACCCTTTAAATCAGACTGTACAATTTTGCCAAATCGAATTTTTTTTGTGTTAATTTTTTTGTTGTAACTTAGAGGAAAGCGCGACTCGGCTTGAAAAAATCTCTTTTTTACGTCGATACTATTCGGTGAAGTGCTGTTCAATTGTCAAAAGTCGGTTGGAATTCTATTTCTTCATGATTTTTTTTTAGAATGTTTTCCAAATGAGAATAAGAAAACACAAGATTTTTTATGCAATAACACCTAGTTTTTCTTTTTCTTGTTCTTATTTTTTTTCTTCTTGTTTGTTTGTTTGTTTGTCATCTAACCCGAATTTCCGAGCGTTTTGTGTTCTATTCTTTGTTTAATTTATTCTTCCTGTTCTTTTGCAACACACATTTCTGTTACTGTTTGTTTTTGTCAAAGCAACAACAATATGCAAAATAGTCTCTAAATTATTTAAAAAAAAAAACAACAACTATTTGTGTGTGTACCCTTTTAATGTTTGTCCTTAAAGTTTGATACTGGTTTTTGTCTTGTCAAAAATGAAATGTATATCATTTTTTTTGTTCCTTTGAAAAAATGCATTTAAAACAAAATACAAACACACACATGCATAGACACACATTCATTCAATGCATTCAACCGTCATTTTACTATCCCCATTCGGAATTAGCGATTAGCCAGAGAGAGAAAGTGAAAGAAAATGAGAAATCAACATACCTAGTGAATCTTTTTACAACTATATTGTTATATGAATGAAATTAGTAGAGAATGAAACACACAAGACAAAGTGTGCGTCCCCACTCCTCCACCGCCTCCTCTTCTAGCCTATTTCGGTGGAGGCAGACTGTACGCACTCGAACTCATTTCCCCCCCCCCCCATTCTTCGTAGTAGAAAATCAATCCGAAATATATAAACAACAACAAAAAATGAACTTTGAACACACAGAGAAACAAGTTACTGTAATCTATAAGACCTCATATTTATTAGAATATTTATAATATCCATTCGTTTACAAGAGCAAAAAAGACTAATCCCTAAGTTCCGACATTTCGGATCTGCCCCCGAAAACAAAATGTTTCATAACAACAAAACACACACTTTTTTGACATGTGCATTTTTGTAGGAAAAACCAATATTTTTATTCCCAGTGTTCTTTTTTGTAGAATTTTTCTTCTTCTTATATCATTTTTTTGAATTTTGAACGTTTTTATTGTCAATGAATTGTTTTTTTGAGGTTTCCTTAGCGTGGACATTTCAATTCATTTTTTTTTATGAATACTAGTTTTTGTCCTTTAAAACCAACGATTTTGTGCATTTTTGATTCGACTGAATAAGAAAAAAAGTAGATTTGACGATAGACGTTGAGAGATTTTTCATGCGCTTTTCACCGTGTATTATTGAAAAAAAAAACAGAAAAAGGTTGCATAGAAATTTTGTAGGATAAAAATTTATGAAATTTTTTTTAACGATTTTGAAAGCGATGAATTCTTTAAATAATTTTTTTCTATTTCGGGATATCGGGATAATTGTGTTTGGACTTTTTTTTCTTAGATAGATAGGAATTTTTTTGAAATCAAATGAATAGCATCGTCTCGAGTCACCATTTGTTTTGAAAGCGACAAAAAATATTTGAAAATGCAAAAAACAAACAACACACTTGTAGAACGCATTCGGATCAAATATTATCAATCATGATAAATGACCATCAACACAGGTCGTTGATAGAGAGTCGACCGCTAGCACTTACCATCGGTTGTGATCGATTTGGTGTTATTACTGTATACGTTAGTTAACCGCTTAGGCAAAAAAATGTCACAGTTAAATTTTCGTTTGCAGTCCCTCAGTCAACACACATAACACTTCAATCTAATTTCAAGCGAGTTCCAAAATTGTTCGGTTGTTGTCAGAAAAGATTTTGTTTTAATTTTGGTGAAAAAAAAGACTTCATTGAAAATGAGCGCTTAAAAAATATAGAAAAGACGAAAAGTGCCTGCCAGTAATAGAGAATAACCAAAACCGAACGTTTGAACATTTAGCCGGGGGGTATAAATGTTGACTGCCCACAAAATGTGACACACATTGGGCTATTTGTCAAGTTGCTTATTTTCACCAATCGGTTCCACTACCATCCACTCCTATACAGCCCGAGTAGCGTCATGTAGGTACGGTTATCGTACATGAAAATAGAACGGAATAATACCACGATAGATTTTTCCATTTCATAAAAGAAAGCATATGCAATAGGTATATAGAACCACAAATAGAACGTAGTGAAGCACACATACACAAAGATTCGTTGTTTAATTTATATAGATGAGGATAATGCCTAACAGTCTCTGAACGGTGTGACATCATGAGACAAACTAAAGCAACCGAAAGTAATATAGTCGTTTCAAATTCATGATTTTCTTAGTTCAATCTTTTTTTTCATGCGGAACATCTACCAGAGAGTAGAATAACAAAAAAAAAACAAAGGAAAAAAAACGATCAATCAGTTTCAGCAAAAAAAATTAACTTATAAGTTTAATAGCGACGAAAGGCAAATAGAAAAAGAGAGAAAAAGAGAAATAAACGAAGGATTTAAAATAATTCATGATTTGTAAATATGAGAACAACAACAACAAAAAAAAGAGAAAAATAATTTAACTAAAGTTTTATTATTAAGAGAAAAAAAAATTGAAAAAAAAAGATTCAAGTAAAAAGACGTTTCGAACAATATATAAAAACTGATATTTTGTAATTTTTTTTATTCCAATTTGATTCATTCGATTTGAATTTGAGAGGCTGGTGTTGATTTTTTTTCTCGTTTCATTGAGTTTAGACTGGTGGTTTTTTTATTCATTAAGGCGAAGGCATCGAAGTGAAAAAAATTTTAGGTCAGGAAATGCATCGAAAGCACAGACACAAAATTACATTAACTTTCCGAATGCAAAGCAAACAAAATAAACTACACCATGCATCAAGAAATTCCCTCTAATATTCCACACACACCACCAACAAAAAAAAAACCCAAACCAAAATGCCATACTCTCAAGTTCATCATCATCTTCGAAATCCGGCTTCAAAACGCCGTATCACTGTATGTCCATCATCTGTAACAGCCTGAGTGCAGGAACACAGCCGAATTGTTTGTGAATGTTCATGTGCATATTTAGCCAGAAAAAAATCGAAAGAAATGGTTGCTAGTTCTTTGTATGTAATACTTTTTTTTGTCGTTATTTCATTACCCAAATCACAAGCAAATGAGCAACATTGTGATTTGATTACTGTTCGAAACCAAATGCAAAAATTAATAACATGTGTCATGTCGTTCGTTCTATTTATGCCCGTAAGTATTCTTGATACTAAAACCTGTGTAAATTATTCATGTAGCTGTTGATAGATTTTTAGCATTCACACAATACCTTCGTACGACTATGGTTGAACACTATTGAAATATCGAAGCTGCTTCAGTATACTGTGCCGCCTGTGCAATCACACCACTGCCTCAAATATCCACACCCCACTATTTTGTCTAACGGCCGAAAACACTATTTTATCTCCTAAATTTGACAATTAGAATTTGAATTTTGTGTGATAATACCAACTTTACCAACTAACCCAAAAACACTGAAACCTCAACAAGCATCCAAGTAGTTTGCACTCAACTCAAAGTGTTGATTCACTTTTTGTTTGGGTTTATTTTTTTACCTCTTCTTTTAAATATTTAGAATAAATTCAAATTTTCAACAAAAAAAAATCATTTGAAATGGCCGTTTTCGTTTTGCAGTTTCTACAGCTACGATGAAAACGGTCAATCCAATGATTTTTATTATATTTAAAAAAAATGATTTCCCTCTTACTTTTTTCTAATTTTTATTTTTTTATTTTTTTCTACCCCCCCCCCCCCCCATTCCCACGTTAAATTGGTTTGACACTCACAGTAAGGCCAGGATTCCATTAGAGTGTGCAAAAACAAAAACAGAAAAAAACACATAATTACAACCATAATGAGAATAATTTTTAAATTAAACCAAATGAGTTTGAAATTCATTGATTGAACCAAAAAAAAATATGAATAAAAAAAATTACGACAAAAAAACGAATAAAAAAAACTTGAAAAATTGGTGGCTTTTGCAAGCAAAATAAGGAATTCAATCAATCCAAGAGACATAATCTGTGAGGAGAGAGAATGAAGTTTTAGTATCGTAGCATCATTAAAGTTTTTTCTAGATTAATATCAAACTGACAGACAGACATATATAGACCTCCACAAAAAAAGCTTCCCAAACACACACACCATACACATATAAAATACACGAAGCGTAACATTACGAAGCTCATGGATACCCCTATGAAAAAAAAACGACACCCGAACCACACAATCGAAATTCTCCATTCAGCCATCCCTCGAACGTAAATCCTGTATTAAAAAATAAACACCAAAATTTCATTTGATGACACAAAACCAATTACCCAAGTACACATGCATTTGCATACGCACACACAAGCTACTACCATCACCATCAACAACGACAACAACACTGTGTTCATGTGCACGAACATTGAAGTCGATTGAAATTTTTCAAAAAGAACCAAATCCAATCATCATCACACAGGAAATACAAGGGAATTTAAAACAGAGAGTGTAAATAGAGTGTAGGTAAATAATAATGTAATAAACAGGAGAAGAAAAAAACGAAAAAAAGATAATATTTTCTGTTATGTCATCAATTCGCATCTGTGCATACAAAATTCATTCGAGATCGACAAACAGATCGACATACACGCAACATATCAAAATAATTCACATACAAGTCACAATTGTACATACGATCAGCGGTTCATTCAATGTTCCCGTTAGAATTGCCACATTTCATCGAACGAATCGAGATAGAATAAACAAAATCCATTCATGTGCGAGTCAGTTTTTGAGAGAGAAAGAAAAACACGAAAAAATCCGTACAAATGTATAGCTGCGACTCATTTTTTTTGTATGTTTATAGAATCGAATGTTGTGCACACTAGATTTTCTTCCAATTTCTTTTAAAATTCATTGTTATAACTTGTTTTTTTTCCTTTCTGAAGTGAGTTTTAAAAAAATGTTGTCGTGTTCTTTTGTGGATTTTTTTTTTGCTTTGGAATTGATGATGCGCAGACAACTATGTACATTTATATTTATTTAAAGCGATTAATGGAAGAAAATAAAAGTTAAATTAATAAAAATGAGAGAAAAAAAACCGAAACCGACCGTTCTAAGAACCATCCTTGGATTAATTGCATCAATTAGTTTGTAAATCCTTGAAACCTCCCTGCATCCGACCAAAAAAAATATGCTTGCGAATCACACACCCTCGCCTGAGAAGCCGAATACACAACACACTTTTACCCTGCGAGATTGCCAAGTTGACAAATGTATCTTATTGATTTTGGCTTTGAATGTGAGAGACCGGACACGCTTGTTCCGCTCTTTCGACAAATTGATTTATTATACAGATCCATCCTTGCATCATACACGCACATCAATTTTTGCACTGTTAGCTCACCACCCACGCCCCGATGCCAAAAACCTGAACATACGCTTGGTGGTTGTTTTTTTCTTTACAAAGAATGTGCGACTTGATTCATTCAGAACTGATCACAAAATCCACTGGAATGCGAATTGGTGGCGATCAATATGCTGAACGTTATGTGTTATTGACGCCCATTCACCAACATCGATCATATGAATGAGGTGTTTTCGTAGTTTTTGGAATAGTTTTTTCCGAATGGAATGAAAGAAAAAAAAACGCACGAAAAACTATTTAGAAAAACCAGAAAGAGTGAGTTTTTTTGCATGTTATTCTTCTAATTCTTATACTTCTTCTATTTCGGAATGATCTTTTCAAAACCGATTAAACTTTTTCTTCTTAGTTTTTTTTTTTTCAAAAATAAATTCTACTGTATATTTTTTCAGAATATTTCTTTTCTACATATTCTAAATGAATTTTCAATACGAATTATTAATTTTAAATAATAATTTTTTCTTTTATTTGTTTTATTTCATATGTTTTTTTTTTCTTTTCCATCGTCTCTCAACGAAACTGTCTGTCTATCGGTCGACAAAAACCACAAACACAAAATTTCTACATACACACACAAAAATTGTATTTGTAATCGAAACAGTGAATGAGGTTGTCGTCGATAAGTGGAGCAATCAATAAATCAATCGATCGAGATCAACCACAACACTCACACGCAACACAGCAACAACACCAATAAAAAAAACAAACAAATCTCTAATGCAGATTGATGAAATTTAATTAAAAAAAAAAAATTCTGATTTATTGTAGTGTAATTGTAAAGAACAAACAAAAAAAAAACAACGAATTTAAGAACAAAATATAACAACAACTCTTACACGAAGTATTTGAATAAAAAACAAAATGGTTAAATAAGCAAACACTTACCAAACAAATTTAAAGATTTATTTAAATTTATATTTTAAAACACAAAACAAAAAAACATGAACAAAAAGAATAAAGTCGTTAAAGCCGAACATAGAATTCGATACAAAAAAAAAAATTTAGAGTGAAAAGAAAATGAACCGGCCAAAGAAATTTCCATCTTGAATAAAAACAATATACCACCAACTGAAATCTAGAGTAGAAATTACACAAATAGAAATCGTTTATTATTAATATTATCTCTTTTTTTTGTTTTCAACAATTCACATTAATTAATTTAAACAAACAAAAAATCGTTTTTTTTAAGGGAGTATGAAAATGTTCCTATTACATTTGCAATCTTTCTTTTTTTGGTTCCTCTGCATTGTTGGAATTTTGTTTTTAATTTTACACGAGATAAGCAGAAATATACGTTTTTCTCTTGCTCACAGTTAAAATCAGTCATTTCAATTTTATGTTAAATTTTCGACGGGACTATCCTCAAGAGCAACACAAGACACGAGGCAATCATTTACAATCGCATTGTCGATTCAGGTATTTTATCGATTTCACTCAATTACCCAATTAATAGAAAAAAAATACAAAAAAAGAAGAATTACTTTGAACAACAACAAAACGAAGACAATACACCATTCAGATAAAACTTAAAATCTCATGACCAAAAAACTCATTCTTCTATTTAACTAGATATGTTTAGTGTGTTATTTTCAAATTAGACCATCTATCTATTACAATAATATTCACTCTCTGAGATGTGTTATTACTTTTTTTTTTCTTCTGCAAATGAATATGTTGCTTAGACATACGGTTGAGACACGGCTAACAGACATTTTGAACGTAATTTTGATTTTTAATCTAATGTGGAACAATTTCAATTTGAATAAAGGACTTTTGAGCAGAATAATTTTTGTGATTTTTCTTTTTCTTTTCATGCAATCTATGTATGGGAGAAATGTCTTTGTAGGTAGAAAATTTAACAATATTTTTTGCTGTAGGATCGTGGTACATGCAACTTGCATCATGGATTTGCACAGGGGTGTATAACGACTGAAGTGGGAAATTCAACCGATTGGAGTGTAGCAAAAGAAGCAAATTCTTCTAAAAACAAGGCGATATTGCTTTCTGACAGAACGAATTGGCAGCTGAAATGGAATATTTTCGTAGGGTCACATGAAAACTGAATCACTACAAGTGAAGTGAAACTTTATTCCACACACAAATGGTTAAATTCCAAATATCTTCAAGAATTTTTTTTTGGAAAGCGACATTTTTCACATTTTTGGCGACATTTTTCACCTGCTTTTTTGATTTGAGCCGCATCGCTTGCACCAAAAACGAAAACCAGATAACAAAAAACGCACTTTAAATTGAGTAAAAAGAAAACTGTTGTTTTTTTCTCTCCCGTTTATTCGACTAAAAATAGAATCTCTAAATGTTTATGCAGTAAAAATATATGATCATTGTTTGTGTACTGATTGTGTTTTTTTTGTTTAGCTTTTGTATTTGATTCAAATTGTGTGTTTGTATATTAGTTGACAATTTTTCGAGCTTAACTTCAAATATGTAAAATCTACCAGACAAAAAAAATTGTATTGAATAAAAAAATTTCGTAGCAATAAATTGTGTGTAACAAGTTAACAAGGTGCCATCAGATTAGAAACCACCTCCATATGTTCCCTCGTCTGCCTCAGAAAACACGAAAAATATGAAAATCGTGGCAAAAATGATGAGATTTCCACCGAGCGTCAGATAAGCAGCCCCATCTCGGATCTGTAAACATTGAAAGCGTAGAATCAGTCATCGTGTCAATTTTTTTTCTTTCTTGGACCATTTCCTGTTTTATTATGAAAGGGTTAACGGTTATGAATACTTACAACTGATGAGCGTGCTAGAACCAATGGTAATGCGAACGCACTGATGACGAAACCCATTGTAATGAAAATGGAAACTTCTTGGCAGGAATTGGTACCACTTGTATAGGTGTTTTGTATATAGCGTCGCGACATAAATGTCGGAATCACCGAAAACATATAAAATAATACTACAATCAAAGGCCACCAATTGCTAAATGAAAGAAGACCGAAACGAAAATCGTATTAGTTAGGATTCTAATTGACAAATTTGGTTTTGAAAGTGATAGAAATGGACTTTGCAAGTCATAACATACTTAAAGTCAGGAAGGGCACATGCCAAAATGAGCATTGTTATGCCGATCGAGCCGGCCAACGCCAACAGAACTAGACTGTAGATTAGAAAAATATGATTTTTAACATGTAAACCAATAAAAAAAAATCACATAAAAATGTTTCGCTTCTTTACTTACGCTATTTTTTGTGACGACATGATTGGATGTGAACACAAATCAAACAACAGCAATTCAGATATTGTTTACAAATTATCGTCAAAGTATTGTGAGTCATCGTCATAAATTGAAATGTAACATGATTTTGGATAAAGAAATCATAGTTAGGAAAGTATTTTCATCTCATTGAAGTGCTTTACAATCACAAGTGAGCATTTGTGTTTATCTAATCGAATTTTTTCAAACAAAATGTTTTTTTCTTACCTTTGAGTCCAGCCATCGAAATGTCGCTTTGTTGTGCACGGAATTTATATATACAGCGTAAGTTGAAAACTAATAAATGTCTTTTATGAACTGTCATTCGACAACAAGTGCTGCCATTGCGTGACGAACGACGACGAATACGATGGCAACACAGTTGCTGCTGCTGCGAACCTTTGTTTCATTCGAACTGTGTAATTAGTAGCGACTTGTTTTTTTTTCGGTTTGTCATTGTTATCGCGGCTAATCAAAATACGGCGCTATGGAATGTTTATGTGCACATTTTCATAATATTATTCATATGCCGATCGATAGAGTCATATCTTGGAATCTATGGAATAATTTTATTCATCCACCCACCCGTTGAGATAGGAACAGTTGATCGGCAACTGACAAAAACACATTTATCCTGCAATTTATGAAGGAAAAATCTTCATTTTTTGCTGTAAGCGCCAAAAATCTGGCGGCTAACACCTAATGCAAGCATAATTTCTCTGTAAATTATTCATCTTTCTTACTTTTCAAAGATTTTCATTTCATCTTCAAGCAAGACCAAAAACGTCTTGCAAAATTTGCTTTCCAAATTCGGAATTTTTTTCTGAAAATTAATGAATAAAGATTTGAACAACAACGGCAGTCATATTCGCCG